GGGGGGGAGGGAGGGTAAGAGGGGGGGTCTTAGGCAGGAGTGGGTACAGAGGACTGGGTGAGGAAGGGTGACCTGGGAGGGGAGGAGGCCCTGAACAGGCCTCTCTGTCGAGGATGAGGTTAGATCCAGGCGCCAGAGGCAGGAGGGATGTGCTGAGAAGGCACCTGAAAAACTAAGGTGGTGGCTGGGGTCATGGATCCTGGCCGTTCGTGGGACCAAGAACCCATCCGTGACTCCAGCCCCCTCCCCATCTTTCAGTCTGGAGAATCCCAAGTTCCCTGGCATACTGGCTCGCCTGGAGGAGTCTCCCGTATGCCAGCGTCTGCCCCTCACCTCCTTCCTCATCCTGCCATTTCAGAGGATCACCCGCCTCAAGATGCTCGTGGAGGTACCTAGAGGGCTACAGCGAGGGCCGCGTGAGGAAAATGGTGCTGTGCCCCCCACAGCCCCTCCGGGTACCCACGGGTGGGCAGGGTTATAGGTGGAGGTCATGGCCTGCCTCACCGCACCGACCCCACCCTCCAGAACATCCTGAAGAGGACAGCACAGGGCTCAGAAGATGAAGATGTGGCCACCAAAGCCTTCAATGCGCTCAAGGAGGTGAGCTCGGCTCCCGAGGGCCTCCCCCAAACACCCGCATATCTCTGAATGAGCCCCCGCCATCAGAGCCGCTGGTCCCCAGGAGGGAGTCTGAGGCTAGGCTCTGGGAGCCGGGGTTGGGTGGGTGAGGGGGGCTGCAGGTGACCCACCCACGGCCTCCCCAGCTGGTGCAAGAGTGCAATGCCAGTGTGCAGTCCATGAAGAGGACAGAGGAGCTCATCCACCTGAGCAAGAAGATCCACTTTGAGGGCAAGGTGCGTGTCCGCAGCTGGGGGGATGGGGTCCACAAAGGGGCAACTCTTGTTCCCTTCCCCCCTGGGCACTGGGAGCCAGTTCATCACTGCCCACCCCCTCCCATTCCCTGTTCTGTGCTCTTTGCCCTGCTGTCCTGGGCCTGACCTGCCCTCCCCCTTGCCTCTTGCTTCCTTCCAGATCTTCCCACTGATCTCTCAGGCCCGCTGGCTGGTTCGGCACGGGGAGCTGGTGGAACTGGCACCGCTGCCCGCGGCACCCCCTGCCAAGCTGAAGCTGTCCAGCAAGGCAGTCTACCTGCACCTCTTCAATGACTGCTTGCTGCTCTCCCGGCGGAAGGAGTGAGTCTGGGCAGGGTGGGGGGAAGGAGACTGGAGCCAGGCTCCCTTCTTGCCCACCATCGGGCTCACAACCACAGCCACCATTGGGCTCAACAACCACAGGTCAGACTGTGCTGCCCAGGCACCCCGAGCCTTGCAGACTCCCCCAGGAAAGGCAGAGATGTGAGGCAAGTCCGTTCCATTTTCCAGACCTAAGAACCAAGGGCTGGACTGTATGTGGAGGACTGGACGCTACTCTGAACCTAAGCCGAGTAGAGCAGAGATTAAGAGCTCGATCCTGGAGCCCCCGCTCCGCCCTGAGTCATGATGGTGATGGCCAACATTTGCTGAGTCTGTGCCAGGCATGCTGTGTGGATTATTCTCTGTACTTCTTTAAACATCTCCCTGGAAAGTAGGCTCCCTTATTATTCTCAAGGTCGTGGAGCTAGTAAAGGCAGGAGCCAGGAGGCCGGGTCCGTCTGATGTCGGATCCCAGGCCCTTAACCGTTGTATTATTCTGTCTTCCGTCTGTAAGATAGAGACTACCAGGTAGGGAGACTCAGTGTCGTAATAATACGTGGAAAGGCCATAGCACAGTACCTGGCACATGGTGAACGCTCAGCATTAGCTGTGAGTGGTAAGTTCGGGATGAGTGAGAAGACTTTCCGAGGGAGGTAAGCCTTAAGGCTGCATGCGATGAAGAATGGACTCCTTGCACTATGGGCAGGGTTCGTTCCTGATTCATTCATTCACTCATTCGTTCAAATGTCCCCAAACCCCTATTCTCTCCCGGGCCCTCTTGGGTGCCAGGGACATAAAGCTGAATGAGACTTGTTTTCTGCTTACAGGAGCTCTCAGAACAATTCAAATACATCCTGATAACCACCTGGTTAGGGTTTTGATGGAAAGCATCCCCTGGCATGGGGTGAGAATCAGTAAAGCTTCAAAGAGGAAGGGACACCTGAGCTGGGTTTTGAAGCATAAATAGGACTTTGCCAGGTAGAGGAGGAGTTTGGGAGGATATATAGCAAAGTCACAGTGAGGCGTAACGGCAGATTGTGTTCAAGGGATGATGAAGCCTGCTCTGGCTGGGTTTGTAGAGGGGAAGGGCAGGAGAAGGAAGCTGGGGTGTTGAAAGTCATAGTACAGAGGTTGGGCGTCCTGAGGGCCATGGGGAGTGTGGAGAGTGAAACAGATGAGTGACGTCTTACTCCCGGCCAATTTGGGGGATGGACTGGAAGGGGAGAGACCAGAAGCTGTTGAAGTTGTCCCCAAGTGACAATAGATGCTTCAGAACTGGGGGGGGGGGGGGGGGGGGGGGGGGGGGGCTTGTGGTAAGTGGATTCCAGGAACAATAGGGAGTTAGGATGGAGCTGCTGGCTGGGTGTGCAGGGAGAGGGAGGGAAGAGGCAGGGAGAGGGAGGCAAGGGGCGCGAATGACGGTTGAGTTTCCCCCTGGGCACCCTGATGGAGTATTTGCCCGGAATGGGGAACAGTGAAACGATCTGGTTTGGAGCGAGGCATACTGACTTCGGTTTAGATGGGTTGAGAAGAAGGAATCCGTGGGACATCCTTGACCCACCCACCTGCCCCTTCTTCCCACAAGTGTTTGTTGAACCCACACTGTGGGCCAGGCGGGACAAAGCGCTGGGATAGAGTGGGGCAAACAAGAGACAAAGTTCAGGTTCTACACCAGTTAGAGAGGCAGACCCTAAACGGGGCAGGGTCTCCTCCGAGTGGCTGTCCGTGGGCTCTTTAGAACAGGGACCCACGGGAGAGGTGCAGAGAGAACTTGGAAGCTCGCCTGGGGCAGCGACCGGCTTTTGTCACCTCCACTTCCGTCAGGGAGCCGGCAGGAACGGGGTCCCCGTTCCTGGTGGGGACGGTGCTGGCTGTTAGGGAGGTGATGTCTTGCACAGCCAAGTTTCCTTGGGGAGGGAGCTGGAGTTCTCCTTCGGATCAGAACTCACCTGTCCCGAGGGTGGGGCTGGGAGCCTGGGGATGAGCCAGGCTGACCTCACCTCCCCGGGCCCTGCAGGCTAGGGAAATTCGCCGTGTTCGTCCATGCCAAGATGGCCGAGCTCCAGGTGAAGGATCTGAGCCTCAAGCTCCAGGGCATCCCCGGCCACGTGTTCCTCCTGCAGCTCCTCCACGGGCAACACGCGAAGCACCAGTTCCTGCTGAGGGCCCGGACGGAGTGAGTGGGCCTGGGTGTGGGGAGAGAGGACCCCTAGGAGGGCACGAGGCCTTTGAACTCTGGCTGCAGGACGGTGGCCTGAGGCAGGACACGGGCGGAGCTGGCATCCGGGGGGCTTCTGGGCCCGCTCTGTCCTTAGGCTCAGAGCTGGGTGGGGCACAGGCTTGGGGACAGGGCTGTGGGGTGGGCCCTGGGGTGGGTCCTGAGTCTGGACATCATACCTGATTCTCCCAGCCCTGTTTCACCACTCTGGCCCTGGGAGATTGCACTTTGCGCCTTGTGACAGCTCAGCCTCCCCCTCCCTAGAAGTGAGAAGCAGCGGTGGATCTCGGCCATGTGCCCCTCCAGCTCCCAGGAGGACAAGGAGGTCTTCAGCGAAGGCCAAGGTAGCAGCCTGCTGCACCCCCTGCCCCCCGCCATCACCCACTTCTAGGCCCACATCCCCTGGGGCTGGGTCCTTCCCTTTCCTCCAGCCCTGGTGCCATGTCGCCCGCAGGCCCAGCAGGGAGAGAGATCAGCTGACCCCGGGACAGTCGGGGTGGCTGTGCAGAACCTTGAAGGAGGGGCGGGTTTTACACACGACAGGCCGACCTCCTCTCCCCGCCCCCCCCTCAGCCATGTGCACAGGCAGCACCCTGGAGATGACAAAGCCTTTTATATCCTCCCATCTCGTCCCTACAGAAACCCACTTTACAAGCTAGAAAACAGGTTCAGAGGGGCAGAGTGACCTGTCCAAGTAGGTGGCGGAGCTGAGACTGGAACCCGGGTCTGTCTCCGTCTCTGCCCTAGTTGTAAAGAGGACAGGAACCGGCACGGCCAGGGGGTGGGGGGTGACGTAGAGGCTTCTCTCTGGGGTGTGAATGAGGCTGGTCAGCCAGAGTGCTGCCCAATCACAGAGGACCTTGAGGGAGCAGATACCAGGCAGCTATTGAAGGCTTTTGAGCAGGGGAGTTAGGGCTGAGCTAACGAAGGGAGTGGAAGGGAAGGAACTCATTTGTACCCATCCCTGCCATGTGTCAGGCCTGGTATTAGGGGCTTTTATATGCATTTACTTTACTTAATCCTCAGGACAAGCCTGTTAAGTAGACTCTTCCCCCCTCCCCCGCGCCCCCTCCCATATCTGAGAAAACAGGCTCAGAAATGTTAAGTAACTTGCCCAAGGTCAAGTAGCCCATGGGTAGCGGAGCTGGGATTCAAGTCAGGTCTGGCCCCAAAGTCTGTGGTTTTCCCAATACTGCCAGCCTGCCTGCTGTGGTAGAAGGAGCCTAGGGCCTAGACTGAAGCCAGTTCTCTGGCTTGGGCTAGGAGTCCTGTTTGGGCTGTGGGGTGAGCTTCCCACAGCTTCCAGACAGTTGGTCAGGGAAAGCCCCTGAAGGATGAAGAGGGGCGGCCATGACAAGATCTGGGGAAAAGCACTCCTGGGAGGAGAAGCAGCCAGTGCAAAGGCCCTGAGGCAGAAGGGAGGTCAGAATATTTGGGGAACAGCAGGGCAGCCAGTGTCGCTGAGCTTCGTGAGCAAGGGGGAGAGGGGAGGAGGAGAGGAGGGGAGGCTAGCAAGAAGGCAATGCCATCCCGTGCACGGCTTTGGAGGCTTGGGGAGGACTCTGGATTTTATTTTATTCGAAGAGGACTGGGAAGCCCTGGAGGGTTGTAACTGGGGGAGTGATGTGACTTGAAACCCAGTTGAGAAGGATGGATTAGAGAGAGCCCCAGAGAAGTAACAGGGGCCTGTGAAGGGGCCATTACCGTTTTGTGGGGGGGTATCTGGGGGCAGTTGGACATCGGCCTGGAGGTCAGCATCAAGGTATCAGATTGAGCTGGGGAGGCGAGAGCCCGGGGCACAGAAGCAATAAGCGAAGCCGGGAGGGGCTGGATTCACCTAGGGCTTGCGTTTCGGGTAAGAGAGGAGAGTGGCCAGGGCGGGCAGAGGGAGGTGCAGAGGAAATGAAGCCGCAGTGGCCACCCTCCTACCCCTTTACTTCCTCCTCCTACCCCTCCCTGCCCCCTCTTACATTCCCCTGGGGACTCCCTCACTCTCCCCTGGGCTGTCAGACCGCCCCCAGGTTCAGTGTGTCAGGACATACAAGGCACTGCAGCCAGATGAGCTGACCCTGGAAAAGACTGACATCCTGGCAGTGAGGACCCAAACCAGCGACGGTGAGAAGGGCCTCCTGGGAAGGCCTCCCTGATGGGGCTTGGGTGGGTAGGAGGTAGCTAGATGGCTAAGATATCACAGGAGAAGCTTGTGCAAGTGTTGATCAACCACAGCATGCAGGAATCAAGTTAGACAAGAGGAGGAACTTCCTGCTCATAAAGGTGTAGGATTTGGAGTGACTGATGGGGGGAGAGTGGGAAATACCCTTCGTGGAGGATGTTGGGAAAAACAGGTCAGAAGTTCATCTGCAAGGCTGCCAGAGGCAGGGTCCTTCCTGGAGCTGGGAGATGCTGGGATGATGTCACCTCGGCCCTGGGGGTGCAGACAAGGCTTGCATCAGGGCCTAGGCGTTCCCTTGCAGACCTGGCCCTGGTGTCCCTTCGATGCCACTCACGGATGCTGCTCCTGGCCTGTGTGCCTGTAGGCTGGCTGGAGGGGGTCCGCCTGGCAGATGGTGAGAAGGGGTGGGTGCCCCAGGCCTACGTGGAAGAGATCAGCAGCCTCAGTGCCCGCCTTCGAAACCTCCGGGAGAATAAGCGGATCACAAGCGCCACCAGCAAAGTGGGGGAGCCCCCCGTGTGATGGGCAGCCGCGGCCTGGGACATCATGCCCGGCTCCTGGACAGGTCTGGAGGGGCCTGTTGTGTCCCGTGCCCCAGGCCATCGCGGCTGCGCCTTGGCCTGGCATCGAGAGTATAGCCTGTCTTCACGTTCCTGAAAGTCCACGCTTTGGGGCCAATGCCGGTTTCTTGCTCTGGCATAGGGACTGCACAGGTGACATATGGCAAGGACTTGGGGCCCCCTCCCTTCACCCTGCCAGACTCTTAGTCCCTCTGGCAGGGGCCTGGCTCTGGTGCTGTTGGGTGCTGGGACTTGTATGTATATATGTATATATTATCTGGGATCTTCTGGCCACAGCCTGCATGGGCCCTGGTTGCTGTGGCTTTTCTGTAAATAAACGCCCATGATGCCTTTGCTTGGAGTCTGTGAGCTGTCTGATGCTGCCCCCCACCCCCACCCCTTGCCCCACTTCCCCAACTAAAGGTCAGGGGGGGTCTCTGGCTGCCTCTCAGTGGGGATTTGTCTTTCCATAGAGTTCACATCTTTAAAAAAAATTTTTTTTAACATTTATTCATTTTTGAGAGACAGAGAGAAACAGAGCGCGAATGGGGGAGAGGCAGAGAGAGAGGGGGACACAGAATCCGAAGCAGGCTGCAGGCTCCGAGCTGTCAGCCCAGAGCCCGACACGGGGCTCGAACCCACGGACTGTGAGATCATGACCTGAGCCAAAGTCAGGTGCTTAACCAACTGAGCCACCCAGGAGCCCCCATAGAGTTCACCTCTTAACCAGAGGAGGGTGACAGCAGGGCTGTGGTGAATTAGACTACTTTTGACTGCAGTTGACAAAATTTCAGATTCAAATAGGCTTAGAGATTAAAGAAAATTTATTAGTTCTTGTGTTTGTTTCTTATAGCTTTCTGTAACAAATGATCACAAGTTAGGTGACTTAAAACAACAGAAATTTATGCTCTGACTGTTCTGGAGGCTAGAGATCTGAAGTTGGTGTCATTGGGCCAAAATCCAGGTGTTGGCAGGGCTGTCCCCTGTCCTGCAGTGGGTGTGTGCTCCAGGGGAGAATTGTCCCTTGTCTGTTCCAGCTCTGGTGGGTACCAGCTTTCCTTGGCTTGTGGCCACATCGCTCCAGTCTCTGCCTCCCAAGTATAAGGATACATGTGATTGCGTTGGGGTCCGCCCAGATAATCTATCTCATAATCCTTAACTCAAATCCCACCTGAAAAATCTGTCCCCCACCTTGTGGGGCACCTTGGTGACTCGGTTGATTAAGCATCTGACTTGAGTTCAGGTCGTGATCTCACGGTTCCTGAGTTTGAGCCTGCATTGGGCTCTCTGCTGTAAGCACAGAGCCCACTTTGGATCCTCTCTCTCTGCCTCTCCCCTGCTCTCTCTCTCTCTCTCTCTCTCTCAGAAATAAATAAACATTAAAAAAAAATCTATTCCATGCCCCCTTGTTTATCATATAAGATAACATTCATAAGATCCAGGGATTAGGATGTAGATAACCTCTTAGGGGACCATTTCTCAGCCTACCACAGTTCTCATAACTAAGAAGTCTATAGGCAGGTTGGGCTTCAGGCAAGGTTTGATGTCACTGAGGACCCAGCTCTTTCCTTTTTTCTACTCTGCGGTCCTTGGTATTGTCTTCATCCTAAGGCTTCCAGGAGCTTCTTCATTCACATCCAACACGGGAGGAGGAAATTGTCTTTGTCCCAGAGTTCCAAGTCAAAGTCCTGGGATGCTTTTTGATGAGACCAGCTTGGATCATGTGGCTGCCTCTAGGCTGATCACAGTGGCCAGGGGGGTGGTGTGTGTTGACAGACCTAGCTTAGGTCATGTGTTTTGTCCCTGGAGCCAGGTTGGGGAGTTATCTTTCCTGGAACCCCATGGATTCCCAAGTGGAGTTTGATGGCTCCTGCACAGGAGTGGTAGCTGCTGGGGAGGCCAATGTTCATGGAAACCCAAATCACCCGAGAGAGAAGCACCTGGGAATGAGCTTGGAGATGTGAGCACACGTCGGGGGACGAGAGCCTCCTCATCCCTCAAAAGGAGGCCGTGGGGCAAAGAAACTATGAGCCAGGGTGGTCCTAGAAGACAAACGTGGGCAGATGGGGAGAAGCTCAGAGCCATGAAGAAGATTTTGGGGATGACTTTCTAACATGAGGTGGTGTAGGGGCGCCTGGGTGTGGCTCAGTCGGTTAAGCGTCTGACTTTGGCTCAGGCTCAAGTGATCTCAGAAGTCTGCGGCTCGCCGAGCCCCGATCGGGCTCTATGCTGGACAGCCAGAGCCCGAGTCTCGCTTGAATCTTGTGTCTCCCTCTCTCTGCTCCCCTCCTGTTTATGCTTCTGTCTCTTTTTTCTCTCAAAAAACAAATAAAATATTTAAATACTCCTGAAACTGTGTGCATTCTTTCAGATATCTGGTGGTTTCAATATTAGAGCGTCCACCTCTTTAGCTTCATGATCTCATTAGTTCTGCGGGAGCCTGAAGCTCCTCAGGCTCTATGCTGACAGCTCAGAGCCTGGAGCCATTTCTGATTCTTGCTAGGTCTTCCCTCTCTCTCTGTCCCTCACCTGCTCACACACTCCACTTCTCTCTCTCTCTCTCTCAAAATGAATGAACATTAAAAAAAAAGTTAAATAGTGAGGGGTGGTGTGAGAGGGTGATGGGGCAAGGAGGCAAACATGACTTGCATTTTGAATCCTGTTCACATTTGTACTCACGCTGACATTTTTATTATTTTATTTTATTTTATTTTATTTTATTTATTTTATTATTTTATATTTTATTTTATACATTATATTATATTTTATTTTTATATTATTTTATTTTATAGTTTATATTTCAGTATTATATTATATTATATATTTTATATTATTTTGCATTTATATTTTATATTATATTATTTTATTTTTTTTTTCAACGCTATTTATTTTTTGGGACAGAATATTTATACGAATGTGGGGAGGGCAGAGAGGGAGGCACAGAATCGAACAGGCTCCAGGCCCGGAAACATCAGCCCAGAGCTTCCGACGGGCCTGAACTCACAGACTCATGAGATCGTGACTCTGGCTGGAAGTCGGATTTGAATCACTGCGCCACCCAGGCTTCCTATTTTATTTTATTTTTTTTTAATTTTTTTTTTTTTTCAACGCTATTTATTTTGGGATGAGAGAGACAGAGCATGAACGGGAGGGCAGAGAGAGAGGGAGACACAGAATCGAAACAGCTCCAGGCTCCGGAGCCATCAGCCCAGAGCCTGATGCGGGCCCCGGAACTGCGACCAGATCATCATGACCAAGTTGAAGTCGACGCTGAATCATCATGCCACCCAGGCGCCCCTTTATTTTATTTTAGAGAAAGCATGTGTGAGTGGGGGAGAGGAGGAAAGGGAGAGAGAGAGAGAGAGAGAGACAATCTTAAGGAGGCTCCACGCTCAGCACAGAGTCCCATGTGGGGCTTAATCTCATGACCTTGGGATCATGGCCCGAGGCGAAATCAAGAGTCAGATGCTCAACCGACAGAGCCACCCAGGTGCCCCAATCCATATGATTTTTTTTTTTTTAAATAAAATAAAGCCTTTACTTTGGAATAATTGTAGATTCCCAGAAAAATTTCAGAGATGGTCCAGAGAGTTCCATGTGCCCCTTTCCCCATTTCCCCTGCTGTTAACATCTGACATTACCATGGTACAGTTGTCAAAACTAAGAAACCAACTTCGGTACATGACTATTAACTGAACTCCAGATTTTATTCGGATTTCACCAGCTTTCCCACTAATGTCCTTCTTCTGGTCCAGGATCCAGTCCAGGATCTCACGTGGCACGTTGTCCTCGTGTCTCCTTGGTGTCGGCCGGTCTACACCACTTTCTCCATCTTTCCTTGGTTTCCATGACCTTAACAATTTTAAGGAGTCCTGGTCAGGATTTTGTTAAACTGTCCCTCTATTTGGGTTTATCTGATGTTTTTCTTATGACTGGGCAGAAGTTATGGGTTTGAGGGAAGAATACCTCAGAGGCAGAGTGCTCTTCTCGTCACATGATCTCAGGAGGCACATCGTGTCCACGTGATTTAGTCCTGGTGATTTAACTTTGACTATATGGTTAAGCTGGTGCCTGCTAGGCTTTCCCATCGTGAAGTTACTATTCTCCCCCTTCCCTTTTTTTGTGTTTTTTTTTTAAAGATTTTTAAAATTTAAATTAAAAATTTTTAAGTTTATTTATTTAGAGAGAGAGAGAGTATACAAGCAGGGGGAAGGGGCAGAGGGAGAGAGAGAGAATCTCAAGCAGGCTCCACACTGTCGGTGCAGAGCCCAATGCAGGGCTCGAACTCCCGAACCGTGAGATCGTGACCTGAGCCCAAATCAAGAGTCAGACGCTTAACTGACTGAGCCACCCAGGCGCCCTGATTTTTATTTTATCTATTTTAATGTTTATTTATTTATTTTGAGAGAGAGAGTGTGAAAGGGGCAAGGGCAGAGAGAGAGGGAGACAGAGGATCAGAAGCAGGCTCCGTGCTGATAGCAGAGAGCCTGATGTGGGGCCCGAACCCACAAACCGTGAGATCGTGACCTGAGCCTGAAGTTAAATGCTTAACCAACTGAGCCACCCAGGCGCCCTGATTTTATTTTTTTCAGTAATCTCTATACCCAACATGGGGCTGGAACCCCAACCCCGAAATTAAGAGCCACACACTCTACGGACTAAGCCAGGCAGGCACCCCTGTTTTCCCTTTCCATACTCTGTTCTTTGGAAGCAAGTGGAACCCACACTCAAGGCATGCTCCCGATTCCTGGTGGATATATCTACATGTATTATTTGGGGTTCTTCTGTAAGGAAGATTTGTTCCTTTTCTCTACTTATGTAATCAGTCATTTGTTATAAAGGCATGTACCTATGCTTTTATTCATCTTTCCTTTGAGTTATAATTAAATACTAAGCTATGTATTTTATTCAAATTCTTCCAACTTTGGCCATTGGGAGCTTTTTGGGCTAGGCTCCTGTGTCTGTTTGACATCCCCTTTTCCTTTTGTTTCTCGAGCACTGCCTTACTTCCTGGCACTATGAGATGCTCCGGGATCACCTTGTATTTACCTGCCTGAGTGCGAGAATCAGCCATTTCTCTAAGGAGTATAGTGTCTTCTATTGGAGAGTGGTATTTAGAAACCAAGATCTGGGCACTGCGTGTGCTCATTGCTATTGAGGTGTCACTGCTTCTAGGCCCTCCCATTGGACAGAGGTAGGAAATCTATCTATCATCTATCATCTCTCTCTCTATCATCTATCTATATCATGTGATTTTAAGTAAGATGCTTAATAACTCTAAGGCTCTGTTA